CAATATTTAACGCCGATAAATACCTAACAGTGGAGGTGCGAACAATGAATTGAATGGACTGGAGTTGATCGAGTGGCATGGCTCGGCCATGCAGGCGTGGTCTCTGCTGAATGTTACCTTATATCTTCTATTCATATTAAATATATTGTTCTTCCTCTAGCCTAACCTTGTTCTACATCATGTATTGGTAATTGATATGATACAGTGAGTTGGTGTAGTCGATGGTGTGACTTCCACGTAAGATCTTATAGATTAGGCAGTAATATCATGACAAATCTACAAATTAAGGATTAGGTCTATTATTAGAGCAGTACCAATATCATACTAGACCATAATTCTACAAATTCACCTATAGCCCCTCCATATGACAAGAGGAATAGGTTTAGTTTAGCCAGCTGCAATTCGTACCGCTGTTTCGCTACTCCAAGTTTCGATACAGTAGTTGTTTTTGGTGCCAACCGTATGCCCTTATACTAATCGAATGACATAATTGTTAATGGATAATATATCTTGTTTGCTTCGTGTTTATTTTGTCATTAAAACCGTTTAGTATTAACGTAGATGTAAAAAGTCGAATACAAAAGTGCTTAAGGAACGTATGTTCCAGACGTTTGATAATTCAGACAAACGATCAGGGACGGAAAGAAACATATATGAAATGGAGTGGTAGAAATAACTGAATCAGTGATGAATTGAAGATTCAGTGCTGGGTGCTTGTATATCATATTCAAGATAAAACTGAACAGGCGATGGCCAAAATTTCAAGAACTTCTCCAAATCTGCTTGTCTTAGGACTTTATGTATTTATTATTATTATTATTATTCACAAACACACATAAGTGTTGTGAAGAGACCATCTCGGGTTTCTTCATAAATTCAATAATACACCAGTTTCAATAATGTTAGCATTGTATTTGCCATATTCGAAAAGGGGGAAAAAGATGATAATGATAATAAAATAGTAATAATAAATCAGGTTCTATGTAATTGAGAAGAATATTGAACTGACGTTAAAGAAGAAAAGGGAGGAGATTAGATAATAGAAGTAAAGGAGACTTGAAATGCGCAAATAGTTTCATAAGCGTGTTTATGAACACAGAACCACAGTAAATGACTATGTATGGATCGCCAAATTAGTAGCAAAAATAAAACAAAATATAATTGAGAAATATAACTTATTCTTGCGGTAAGATATGACGTTACGATACGTGTTTGTACAGTAATAGTTTGGAGTGATGCTATTAAAGTCTCAATTAAGTGCACAGTATAGCCATATATCAAAATGTATGAGTCATATATGCATAGTGAGGATAAAACGAATCTGAGAAGTTAATTTAATTGTGAGACAAGTTATTGTCTTAATTGAAAACTTCGAAATCTTAAGAATAATATTTATATAGAAGGAAAGAGGGAGAGAAAAGAAATGAACACCTAGTGAAAGGGTTTAACCATGATAATAATAGTTGTGTAAAGAATATCCACCTCTGAAGTAAACTATCAATTAAAAAACATTTTAGTGCACTCGGATGTAGATTTATGTAATATTACACATGTTAAAACCGGATATTAGTATAAACATTTGTGCAACAATAAATTATTATTATTATTATTATTATTATTAATAGCTTTATTCAATATTATATTATTGGTACAATATAGAATTCTCAGCACAAAGTATTTCAACAAGTTTCCGTTTCTTTCTTCTTGGTCGGTCCTCGCGATAAATACTGAGTGGTCGCCAGCTAGATGTTATCAGTCCAGTAAATGAACATGGGAATGATGTACATTCTTTTCGTTGTACATTGCCAGCAACCATATTCTCTCTTTTTGAGCTTTTTGTAACTTTAATAACGAAAGGTTGTACATTTTTCAGAAACGCAGCAGTATAGGTTGTGCGATTAATAGACATAATGATATATTAAAACAAACAAAGATAGATAACTTGTTGAAATATCTAGATGGCAGGAACAGGTAGCCCAGATGCTCAAGCAGGCCGCCGTAGAGTCACAATTAATTGCAAAGGATAATCAAATATGAATTTCAATGTGACCTGGGATTGTAAAACTTTTAGCAACTAATGAATCGAAATTTTAGGGAGTTTTCAAGTCATCAGTGTAGCACACTATTCTCTGTGTGTCCATTCGAACCTAGGTGGTAAGTATGAGTCACAATATAATTCGAAGCCTTCATCGACAACTAACAATATCTACACCACTTCAGTTTCTTCTGTATGTTGTTCTAAAGCTCTAGACGATCACTCTCATCTCTTACTGCACTCCATGTCTTGACACAGTCAAAATATAACAATACCAACGACAATAGGGGACTAGAAAGGTCATTTACGTGGCAGAGGGATAACAGCGCTTGTAAGATCCAAACTAAGGTTTGGACTGATGGATAGCTGACTAGGTGGGTTAGATACGCGCCCTTGCCCGTTTGAAACCAAAACAAAGTAATTGGGTAATGACGGTCCTAAACAAATATGACCACTCCGGAATCACCGATAAAGTTTCGAAACTCAAATAACCTGTTCCTTAGTCGTGTTGCTCTTAAGAAAAATCAGGTCTTTGTCTAGATAAATAAATCACTTGCGAATAACTTTTCTAGAATATTAACAGCTTCCCCAGTTCAGCTTACGAAACAATCGTTTTCAACATTATGCCTCGTACCTGTTATTAAGCCATAACTTCGTAGTCTGCTTTCGGTTATCGTTAGATTAAAACATACCTAGAGAATGTGTGATAAAATCTGGGATCCCTTTTAGTAACCTCATCCGCATGCCGTCGCATAACACAGATCTTTGAACACCCAGTTTGTGTGGCGGACCAAAGACATCAATCACCCTAATAATCGAAATGTCCAGTAGGGATAAAGGGACCAGCTTTTATTTGAGAGAGGGGGTCTCTATGGTGTATACAACACTAAAGAAGTCCTAGAGTACTTGAGCTATGTCGTAGTCGCCATCCACTGGTGATAAAATACTATCACCTCCTTGTAGTCTGAGATCCCGGTTTAACAAAACATCAACCACTATTATATGTGACGCCGGTGTCGAGGAGGTAGCAAACATTCGTAGTCGCATCAGTGATGCATAACAGATGGCTATGTTCGCCGGCCACGGTTGCCATGAGCGCGTGCAGGTCGGTTTGGAGATCCGGAAACTTCAGGGTTTTCTTCAATTTCGAGAATTTCTGTGTTGATTATGATACCAGCACCAACCAGAGTTACCTGTCTCTCGTGATCTAGAGACAGATTGTTTTCGTAAAGTACTCCTCCGAGGAGTTTTGGAGTGCCTACGGTCATGACGAATACTAAGGTGGGGTGTCAGAGTATGATAGTGTTCCGTTACGTCAGTTCGTGCTGTTTGAGGTTTTTCTTTGACTGGGTGCACCTCGGCGTTCAAAGTTCTGGTAATCTACAGAATTCGGTAGAGAGATGCGGCCAGCTCGTCCACAGCGTTGCTTGAAATGAGATGAGCACTACCTTCACCTGTTGTGGAAGCTTAAATAAGAAATTTTGTCTAAACAGGCCCTCGTTGAAGATCTGTTGGCCAGTGACCCCTCTCATTCGTAACATGTCTGTTGCTGAGCTATATTGTAGATCGATGTCATTGAGAAGTTGGTCTAAGCTTTGCAAATAGGTTAGAACTCTATGTCTAGGAATATACCTTTTTAGAATATCATAAGGTTCCGAAACATCACTAGTAAACATACTAGGTGTGACATATCTGTTGAATTCGCGCGGTAGTGCCTTCACTACTGCGAGGAACTGTGCATGTGGGTCTTTCACGTTGTGCTCGTGGAAGTCAACTTCTGAGTAGCAGTACCATGCCTTGATGCTATCGGTCTAAAATGGTATTAGTTGAAATGAGGGTGACGAAAGAGTCTTGATCTTAAGTAACTTAGGAGTTTGTCCGGTCATAATATAAAGGATAGGATATCCAAACATACTAAAAAGATCACAGTATGTAAAAATTAAAGTAAAAATATGGTATTTAAAGTTCCAAAAAGGAACAGACTCACAGTTTGCAAATTGGTGTACCAAATCACATCGGGTTCACCAATAAAGTGCCACAAGTGATTGGAGTTAGAAAACGCCTCAACCAGTAACACCTCTTATGACAGAAATGTTCCAACCCAGTCAAATCAAAAGTCAGATGCGAAGAGGTTCGCAGATATATTTGATAGGCTATCTATGCATCGAGATCAACCTAAACCGGTTAGTGGTCGTAGGAGGTGTGAAGCACTGCGTACCCACTCGTGATTTGGTGCGGATGCGTGACTGAGTGCCTTCAGCTAGGTGAGTTCATTAAAACTAGTGCGGCCAGCGTCAAATGTCGAAGACTTGCAGTTATGGATATTAGGGTTTGATTTACCGCTATAGGATTGTCTCCCGAAAAGCATAGGTTAGTTTGGTCGATATACTCTGTAACTATCAGATAAGGAGAGAGAAAATCGTTGGTTTTCTGAAACGATGAAACATACAAACTCACACACCGTTAGGCATAGGTTAATAGTTAGAAAGCGTAGATCAGAGGTTTTCTTAGGCTGAACAGTAGACGAAACATATTATCGAAGTATATTATCGTTAATATACCTAACTTCCTGCCTGGGGGTATTGGTGATCCACCGCCACTAGACACGGAAGCCCGTTAATTGAAATCTTCTTCAATTTCGTCCACAACCATTTGAACCATTTGAAGATACAGATAGCTATATGTCATTCGTCCTTTTTGGAAGTATAGAGGTTTCCTATAGGTGCATATACTGTTATTTCAAGCTAGCCTACAAACACGCCACAGACCTCAGGCTCTCAAAATATAAAGGCTGGTGACAAAAATGAAATGACAGCCTTTGGACAGGGTCGCGGAAACAAGGAGGAGGTAATTTCAATTGTGAGCTGCGTTCTATTAGCTCCATCAACCATCTAGACTGGGCTGGAGTCAACCAACTCGGACGTCTTAAGTATATCAGGCTTAGTTATTTTTGTTATCTCATCAAATGTCGAAAGATATTGAAAAAGTTTGTTGTACACTTGTTATCTTTTAACTATATAGATCGTGTCTGTTTTACGCAAAGGAATCACTGAAGGCGTTTTAAACACCTTAGAATCACGTAAATGTGCCATCCGAAATATTCTAAAGTTGTTCTTGGAAAACGAGGAAGACATTGTCAAAGCACTAGAGAAAGATCTTCGCAGGGTAAAAGACTTTGATATAGTATCATTAACTAGTGTCGAACTGAATCTATTTTAACGGATATAGACCCTTCAGTAGGTGAAGCGAAAACAATGCTCTCTAATATGGATTCATGGTTGAAAGAGGAGTCGGTAATGTATCGAATGTTATAAGGGTAATTCATTATCCAGGTTCCATCGTCATTCATCACGTTAATGGATACAGTAACTATTCAAAAGCAGCCATACGGTGTGGTTTTAATAATAAGCCCTTGGAACTTCCCCTTCATTTTATCATTTCAGCCTCTAATTGGTGCAATCGCTGCTGGGAATAGTGTTCTTCTTAAGCCGTCAGAATTGACTCCAGCGTGTTCTCAGCTGATTGCTGAGCTTATCCCTAAGTATTTAGATAAAGTAAGTTGTTGGTCAAATTAAAGGAGATTTCCATGGACTGAAGAAAGTAAGAATTTTTCTGCACTTAGTTTCTATTACTTTGACCTGACATTCTAAAATGAAAGTATTAAATTCCTAGAAAATATGAAGGGGGCAAAGTGTGGCACTTCAAACAGATGCAAACTTAGTAAAAAGAACGAATACGAATTTTCATTATTGGGTACAGATTTGTGCCTAATCCTTCACTGTTCATGATTAACGATTGACTAGTTACCAAGTCCATAAGTATAAGCCATATAGAATTTCACTGCTTATTGTTCAATAAAAATACATGTAGGAACTATTGTATGATGTAGATTTAGATTATTCCAAGTTGTGTCTAATCATATCGCAAATTTCTGATTTGTTACCGTTTAGTTTGGGTGACTGAAACTGGTGTAAAGTATATGCTCTCCACTTTTTTAAAGCATCAATTGTAAAGCGAGACTGCACCTTTGAAATTTTCGTCCAACGTCCCGTAGACAGAATGCTTTCAGTGACGAAGTTGAGTAGAAAAAATAAAACTGATGACCCTATCTAACATCGTCTTCAGTTTATAATGGTGACATTTCTATGTAACCACTACTTGATATACTTTCCACAACTTAATAAACGTCAACACGTTTTTCAGGAATCAATATAAATATCCTTCAAGTAATATTCTTAGTCTGTAATGCTTTTAACAGCTCTTGTGTGTCCTAGTAATGAAATCATAGTCCCTATATCCACGAAGAAAGCATATCCCTAAAACATTAGTTCTGTATTGTGAAACTAGTTTAATAGTAGTTAGTATCCTTATAGTCCAGACCGTTGCTGCTACCTTGACGTGGTGAACCATATTGCCATCAGTCATCGTTGTGGAGGCTTGATAGAAGACTCACGCTCGTTCTGGAATACCTGCTTGGACTCTAATAATGCTCTAATACGGGCACGCATCTGCTTGCGCCTCACCGGACGCAGAAAATCCACATTAAGAAGACCCATTAGAATTGAACTGAGTGACGAGAAAGCAGAAAGTAGATTCCAGGAACAACTGAGGTCACACTTAGGTAGTTTTGAAAACGAGGCTGACCCAGATGTTGCTTGGAAAGATATACAAACAGCAGTGACATCTATCAGTGATTTAAACCACAGGGTCACAAAACACCAATCGATTTCTTCTAAGTCTATTGCACTAATGGATTCTCGTAAACTCATCCCATCAGGATCTGAACACGATGAAGAGCGAAAGCAGATCAGATCTTGGTTAACCAACAGTCTAAGGAACGACCGTCAGCGGTGGTGGGCAACGAAAGCACATAGAGATGGAAAAGGTGGCGGCTGTAGGTAATACAAGACAGCTCTACAGACTAATAAAAGGAACTAAGATTAATAAGTCAAGTGTAAGTGAGACTATCTCGGAAAAAGACGACAATCTTATCTGCTCCCAGTCCAGACGTTTAGAACGATGGGCGGAACATTTTAAGGAGCAGTTCAGCTGGCCTCCAGCTACTCTACAACTACCCACCATTTCCAGACAGCCTGAATGGAACATTGAAGTAGGTCCCCCGACTCTAGTTGAAGTTCAAAAGGCTATAGATAATCTGAAACGAGGAAGGGCAGCTGGTCCAGATGGATTGGCTACAGAGGTCTTTAAGGATGGTGGTCCAATTTTAGCGATTAGGTTGACTAATATTTTGGCTAAAATCTGGGAGTTGGATGTAATCCCATCTGATTGGTCACAATCACTGATTGTCCCAATATATAAAAAGGGGTCAAAATCATCCTGTGATAACCATAGAGGGATTAGTTTGATTAACATAGCATCTAAAATACTAGCCTCAATAATTATCGGACGCCTAACTAAGACTCGTGAACTGCAGACACGAGAAAATCAGGCTTGCTTCAGACCTGGTTGTCGCTGCATCGACCACATATTCACTATTCGCCAGGTTTTAGAACACAGGCATGCTTATCGGCATCCGACAATTATAGTGTTTCTTGACCTAAAAGCAGCATTTGACTCTGTAGACCGAGAGGTCCTGTGGCAGTGTCTGTCATTAAAAGGTGTACCTCAGAAGTACATAAACCTTGTGAAGGCTCTTTACTCGAACACCAATAGTCGAGTCAGAGCTTATGACGAACTGTCATCTGATTTTGCAGCCTCAAATGGTGTCCGGCAGGGCTGTCCACTTTCTCCATTTTTATTTAACTTCATCATAGACCTACAGATGGAAACAACGCTCTCGTCGATTGAATTTTCAGGCATTGATCTCCTAACGGGAGGTCCACTTATCGACTTAGAATACGCAGATGAAATAGTTGTGTTTGGTGAAGACGCTAATAAAATGCAGTCTTTTGGTAGGACTGAGCAACAATGCCAGGATGTTTGGGTTGCGCTCCTCCCCCTCTAAACGCACGTTGTTGCTTCAGGACTGGTCTGCGTCAATACCTGAACTAAGGATAGGGGGTGAAGTAGTTGAACGCATCGACAACTTCACTTATCTTTGAAGTCTGATCAACCCTAATGGGTTTGTGTCCGACGAAATCTCTGCATGGAATCGTTTGGCTTTTGCCAACTTACGTCATCTATAGAGAAGGCGAGATCTCCATCGGTCAATTAAGAGATGAATATAATTCACGGCTGGGAAACTTGGCCGTTAAGGATACTCGTAAGTTCAGTCAGCAGTCAGTCAGTCAGTAACAACGTAGAACTTCGTACGTATGTACATCAGTTCGAGTTAAGTTACTAGTATTCGATCACAGTTGTCTTAGAGATATTGCTCGCATCTGCTGGGATCACCGGGTAAGTAATGGTGAGGTTACATGCGGGGTATTAAGGAATGATGGTAAATCAGTTGATGAGGTTGTAAATCTTCATAGACTGAGATGGTTGGGCCACGTGTTACGTATGCCTGAACACCGATTACCACCACGCGTAATGCTGACTAGTGTTGGGGATGGTTGAAAGAAAGTTAGGGACGGTCAAACCAAAACGTGACATCAGTGCTTGAAGTCACTAACTTCTAGTCTTAGCCATGTTGGTAGATGCAGACTACTTGGTTGGGATCCGCGTGACTATCGTAACCAATGATTGGAGACTCTGGGTGACATGGCTCAGAATCGGTCACAATGGCGTAGGTGTATGCACTCTCTGTCTTCCCTTACACTATGAGGTTAAAATTGCTTTATATCTTTCTTTCTACCAACTAATCCTTTCTCCCTGTACTATATCCTTATATGCAATCTTTCTTTTATATATTACTACCATTGAAGTAACTACTTTATGAATTCGGTATTCATCTTGTTGTGCTAATGAGGTATGGCAACTTGTACCGATGAATATATGTGCCTGATTCTACGTTGTAGCTTACTGACTGACCGAATATCCTAGTAGTAACTGATGACAACAGAAATTCGCAGATTTCCATATTTCTCGAAATGCCTTTTGCGAAACGTGTACAATATAATCTGCTTTTGAGAATAATAAAACTGGCGATTCTCTACCAATAATTTAATGAATTGCTTGACTAAAATGTCATTTTAAAAAAGGGAAACTCGTTTAAACAATATGAATTTGTGCGTTTGCATGTTAACTGTTGTTTTTTCACAAGGTTTGATTGTCATGTGGTAAATTTGCTGTCGCTTTTCTTACTCGAACTCATCTATCGGAACCTACTGGTACGTTTCGAGAAGCGAATAAACTCCATAGCCTATAAACTGGAAGTCTATAAACATTGGTATAAGAAGGCGCCAAATATATATGCGCCACAGGTCATTCGACTTGTAATAGGTCTGAAATACTTCCCGAGAGCCAAAAACAAAGCAGATGGTTTCCTTCAGGCTTCGCTCCCCGAGCCTTTGACCTACAGGATTAATCCACAAGACAGTGGGGCAATATTAGGAGATGCAGTCCCATGGTAGTCGGTAATCAACACCATTTGTTCTCTTTGGATCCTGGAGCCCATAGGCACCATTGGTTTGGAATCAGGGTTTTTCAATTCCCCTAGGTGGACTCTCCATACCCACCAACCTGATTAAAGCGCCAGACATTCGCTTTTCGTCCTCTCAGTTTCGTAAACAACACCCCCCTCACGAGAAGGTAGTGAGTAGGACTTCCCTTGCAGTGGTTGTATACGCGTAGCCATGTGAGAACATTTCGAGAGGAAGAGCTGACTCCCCACTCTCTGCCGTACTAAGGCATTTGGGGGCCTCAATTAAGATGGAAGCTAGTCATAGTAATCTGTTAGTTTTATTTATTAACGTTGGATCGCTTTCCGACTATAAGTTACGCACTAATATCAATGTAGTAGTCAGAGTGTCTTGAAATAATATGTAGAAATCACAAAAAATGCTTAAAAATAGCTATAGTTATGACTTATTTTTCTGAGATGTATCTGAGTAAAACCAATTTTGCTACTGGCTATTGTCCATATTTGCTAAAAAAGATATTTTTTTAAAGCACATATGTCAAGTCATTTGTGGAGATGGTAGTGTATCTAAGATACTTCTGGAAACTCAGCGTTTTGACCTCATATTTTACACGGGTGGTACAACCATTGGTCGCGAAGTTTACGTTGCCGCTGCGAAAAAACTTACTCCTGTTGTTTTGGAACTTGGGGGAAATGGTAAGATATCATACTTCTGTGTGATATATTTTTATGTATTTTCGCAACGAATTTCTCTGTTGACATCAAACTATTCGGTTATAAAGTGCACTTTACTATCACTATGCATATGAAGTGTTGTTTATGTCTGTTTCAATTCATTTCGTGTAATTAGGTAGTAACCCGATAGCTTTTCTGCGCTGTTTTAGGCCACTTTGTGTACCACCTAGTTATTACTTGCTTTCAATACAGATTCTAGAACAATGGAGGACTATAAATGATGATTGGTGATATTACCCGTTTGTTGAAACCAAAGGAGTTGAAGTAGTGACTCAGTGTTTAAAAACTTTTCAAACCAGTAAACTGTCTCCCAGTTTACCATCGTAAACCTCAATCACCCTTAAGAAAGAATCAATAGGTGCTTTAAACCAACAGTTTGTTTTAGTCTAATGTGAAATGTAATCCATTAGAAAGCAGTGAGAAATGAAATAATTATTACTTAATGTAGCGGCTTTCCTACGAGGCATATGGACAAGTAGGAAGAAAAAGTCTTAATTTAAGGATCCTTTACGTACACATTAACTAAGAGTTACAATTATATCCAGTTAACACAATCAGTCCAGTGTGAGTTCTGATCATCAAGTAGGTGCTACCCAACAAAGCACTCAGTTGCTTCGACCCTGCAGCTTCAACCTTCGTGCCAAAAACTCTCTTCAAAAACCATCACACTTAGCAATCTCACTGATAAAGTTTCAAGTATCTTAAGCTCATCGATTCTCAGGTGGAAGTAATCTACCTTCATAAGTACGCAAATCGTGTTGGGAAACTAGTCACAACATTTCTAGGAAATACCTACATGCCTCCACTGCATTCGTGTGGATTTAAGTTGATAATTGCAATTTGGTTGTGATGTCATCTACAGTTAAACCGTGAAGAAATTCTAAATGCACACCAAGAAGGGAATTTTAAGACAAAAGACATAAGTATTTATAAGTGGTTACTTTAGTTTGGTCAAATCGTCATTGTGATTGACCTCATTTTAGTGCGTACAGTGGTGAAAAAATTATAACTTCGACAAAACGATCTCTTTAACACTGGTGGTATCTACTGTTATTGCACTGGTGACAGTATCACACTTATGAATAATACTAAGATGTGAACTTTCTAAGGAATTGCTGAAACTAGACGGTTGAGAATCGATTTTGTGAATTTTTTTATTCATATACGCTTTTTAGATAATGCGTAACAAAGCTGGTCATGTACTGTTGATAGAAGTTTAGTTTCAACTTACTGTTCAGACCACTAATAATGTTTAGGATGGTATTAATGGCAACGGTCTTATTTTTTGGGACCGTCAAATTAGTGATTAATTTAGACCATTTTCATTGGGAGTAGCCGGAAATGAACACCGCCCTTATTTTTAAGAGCACTTGAGGATCTCTTGTTCACCGACTTATTGATTAATTACTAACACGGATAATAATAGTAATATGATAAAATCCAGTAGATCTCAGCATCCGGTCCAGTGTTGTATTATTTAAAGTGTATGGTACAGTCTTAATTTATTAAGGAATGAATGACCTACAAAATTTTGTCCAACTGTTTAAAGGATCTAGTGGTTTTTTAAGGTAGTAAATCTGTTCTTCTGGGTAGTAGTCTTGTCTCTGATATTAAATCATCCGGTAGCTTAAGTTTATAATTCGGTCCAGTTATCAGCCATCATCGGACCACTTTGTACAGTCGCATATTGTCTATCGATCAGCATTCTTTCCTTCCATTTTAATAGTTGAAAATTCATTCTTGAAATGAATAATATAATACCCTATAACATAGAGTTGATGTATTTAAACACTTCTGATGAGTTTAAAGTTCCATGATCTGTAACTTCTACATTCTACCCGGTGATGTAGATATAGAGTAGCCTAAAATAATATGTAATAGTTGTTATATCGCTGCCTAACTCATTCGACTATTCATTCTAAGCGTTTGGAACTTTTTCTTATATTATCTGTATAAACTAGGTAGTATTGTTCTATGTTAACGACTGGATCCATAATGGGTTATTTTATAGTTTATTTGAACATTTTACGCCCTAAATTTCTATTACCAAGTTAGTATCATAATTCTGCTACCAAGTTGTCCTAAAAACTTCTCTTTTTACTATTAGTCCTGTGTATATTGATTCGGATGTCAGTTTGGATGTAGCTGTCAAGCGTATTATTTACAGCAAACTTCTGAATTGTGGACAAATATGTATTGCTGCGGATTACTTATTGTGTCACGAAAAAATACTAGTTAGTTGGTGTATTGTATTAAAATTATATGATTATTTAATTTGGCGTTGAAATATTATTTTAAGTGAGCACTTAGAAAAATGATAATTCGTGGTTATGAGAACTTGTTAGCCCCTAAACAAAGCTTCCATTCTCCTTCCAATTTTGTATGATGCTGCAAAATCCAGTTTTTAGCTAGATTTACACTTTACTTAGAATGTTTGCCACCATTTCGAACGAAGATGTACACAAATGTGGACTGTGTAAAATATAATTGATATAATTCAGACTAAACATTTGGTGAATTCCCGGCCTCTTGTTGAAACAATAGGTAAACGTTTATGGAGAAAGATAATCAAATAACTGGGAAACAAGATTGGTGTGGTAAAAGAACAACATGAAATCTCAGTAGGAACAGTGTGTGGTCACAATGGCTTAGGTGAAATATACTGAAAAGGGAATATGACTTGGGTTGCTTCGTAAGCTAAGATGCTGATAGTAATCCTCAGCAACAAACAATTATATACTCTGTTGTTGTTTTGAAGGAAATAAACTGAAAAGAAAAGATTAACTTAGTAGATATACTGGATTTGAAATATTTTTTTGTCACTAGCATAATGGTAATTAAAGATTATGTACCAAGGGTTACGCGAGACAGAATATAACACATAAATCGGACATTTTCTTCAAACGGTAATTCGTTTACATTTATTATTTGACGTTCCAGATTTGTAAGTTTATTATGTTAGTTGTTGGCTGCTTATTTACTCCAAAAATCGATTTTGATTTGATATGTCGTTAAACTTTAAAATCCCCATTGTCAGTGTTAGTTTTAGGACCGACACGTTGTAATTCCAACCGTTTATTAACATCACGATAGATGAACCTACGTTCTAATATTCTTGGTTACATTCGTACTGCAAAATCTAATGCACCTCTTGATAATAGCCTATTTGGTCAGCAAAGCATCTCACTTTGTGTGGTGGTGAACCATTAGATATTTTATCGCTGATACACAGCTAACAAATCAATTTATAGCTTTTCAAAGAGATGATTGGATGCCATCGATAGTATTAATTATCTACTAGGTATTATGCATCATATTTCTTACTTTAAACAAATATAATGGGTGATTTTTTCTCCATGATTGTTTACCTTTTCAGTCCTGCTCATGTTCAAGGCATTATATTGTTAGGTGTTGTGTTTCTGTACAACATTTACTTATTTATCGTAACTAAGTTGATGAATTATATCTTAATTATTCATATTTTTACGCTATTGATTGCTTCCAATTACTTATGTGATTGGGTAGTTTCCAGAATGTTCAGTTTTAAAATGTTTCTGATGTAGCTTATCATAGTTTTCTAACTCGGGAACAAACTGAACAATAAATATCTTTGTATTGTATCAAATTGTTCGAGTTCAGTTTGTCTGGTTATTCTTATATTTGTTTGAGACGGATTGCTAGCTAGTCTCAGCATACAGTACCAGTTCCAGTTAAACCGAAACGAGATCGAGGTCATATTTTCATGTGAATCATTGTTTTCTTTTGACTGATGAAGGTTATAATGAACTGTTAGTCAAGTAATTGGTTTGGTCTTTCTAATTTTTCCTTTAGCCTGTTCTGAAAGAGAGAATTGAAGAAACCATAAAGCAGTTTTTAGGCGATAATCCTCAAAAATGTCCTGATTTTGCACGCATCGTCAATGTCAGGCATTTTCAGTAAGTATCAGGAATATCCATGTTAACATTAAATACCCAGTTAATTGTACGATAACTAGTTAGTGTTTAGTGAGTTTTTCAGATTCCTTTATTTTTTTTATACTCTTTAACCAATATGTAACGACAATCTAAGTCTCACAGACACCTTGTATTTAACAGCAGTGTCAGTCAGTCACTCACAACACAAAATCTGGTACGTATGCACATAGGTTCAAGTTACCATACTATATTAACACAGATGAGATTGTCAGGTCAAATCCCAGAATAGTAAATATAGTAACAGTATAAGTGGTAACAGAAAAGATTAGGCATCAAAGATACGATTCAAGAGAATATAAACTATTAGGATAAAAACAAGAGTTATTAGGAATTTAGAAGCTCAGGATTTTGGGAAGATAAAATAAATACATCTGCGCCATGGCAAACGATTTTGAGCCATGTCATTCGAAGTTTCCAACGACTGGTTATGATTATCACGCGTATCCCAACCAGGTAGTCTACACCTGTTAGCATAGCTCAGTCCACTTGTCAATGACTTCATGGACTGATGCCATGTTTTGGTTTGTCCGTCCCTAGCTTTCTTTCAGCTTACCGCCACATCAAACAACATCGCCCGTCGAAGTAGGTGGTGGTTGTGGATACGTAATTCATCTCCCACTCACCTTAGTCGATGAAGATTCGCCGCCTCTTCAATCGACTTGCTATCCTTACCCAGTACTTCGAAGACGCCTGTGACCAAATACTAGTAACCTACAAATGTCTGTTCTCATTGGTCATGTTTCACATTCATAAAGTAGGACGGAATGTATTGTTGCACGGTAAACTCATTGGTTGGTAGATGGTTATCTCGCCTACGCCACAAGTAACGCAAGTTGGCAAAAGCCAGTCGGGCTCTGAATTTTTGCTGAGGTTTTACCAGATACAGCAATGACCTTGGCATAACATAGTAACTTTAAAGCTGTTCGAGTGTTGATTGTTTTGAACTCTTTTCAAATACTAACATTTTGTCTACTACCAGTTTACATGTTCAAGTTATAATACTTACATTGGTGGGACCTAATAGAAGGCTCTTGTTTACATCTTGTAGCATATTTCACAAAGTTGTGACTATATATACAACTTTTTGAATGAAAAAGGACTAATTTTTTATTCATTTTTAAGCCGCTCATTGTTACCATCGTCCTGTGTTTTTACTAAAAACGAGTGTAATTCATTGATGTGACTGTCAAGTGTAGTAGTGTTTTATTTTGGAAGTGGTGATAATTATCATCCTTCCGTTTGTGAATAGAAGTTTAGAAAAAACTTTGTCCTATTTTACATCTAATTTACCGTCGCTTATATGAAATTATTGGAACTTCTTTAAAAAGGTGACGTAATGTTTAAATGGTTGAATTTAGTGATAAACGTTCGTTAAATAAATCTCACTTTTATTCGATATTTTTTACAGTTAATGTGTGGAACTTATAATTCTACTCTGGGAAACAAGGAAAACTAAGTTTTTATTCATTTCACTGTTTATCTTATCAGTTTACGAATACTTTAAGGAAAGACACTAAACTACGCATTCAAGTGTTTCCCTTTAGTCACAAAACAAGTGTTTCGTCAAGTTTACAACTTGTGTTAAGGTAAAAGAAGCTGGAAGTCGTTTTGCTTATATAAGGATTTACCAGTAATATACAGCAGTTCATGTTATTTTTTGACTGATATTAAAGTACACAGAATGTGATGTGAACTAAATGGTAGTAATAATCATGATATTAATCATAATAATAACTCAGTTCATGTTATTATCATTGCATATTAATCATGCTCTAAAATTACTAGCTTGTAAAAGAACCATTTTAATTTCGTTCGTCAGGCGTCTTACAGATCTACTGAAACAAACCAAAGGCAAAGTTATGGTCGGTGGCATGTCAGATGTGAATGACAAATATATTGCCCCAACTGTTGTATTTGATGTTGATGAAGAGGATATATTAATGCAAGATGAGGTTAGATTTATCATTTTTTAATAACTCCACTTTGCTAGCGAGTATTATTGTACATATTTTCTTCAAATTAAGTCAAGAATTCTACCGGATTAAAGATATAGAACCCTTAAATAACAAGTTGGATTTTTTGAGATGCGAAAGTAGCTAACATAAACCATGTGTACATTATTTAGCATGCATTGCATTTTATATGTCCATCAATTACTGAGAATGATTTCTTATGTGTTTCTAGTAAAAATCATAAGTCGGACAGTTTGGAGAGCAATCAATCGACAGAATAACCCTAACATGATTAAATAGATTCCTGCATAATTTACCTTCTTAGTAGTGGACAAAAATTTTCATCTTGTGTATAACAGTACACCAAGCAACATTTGTTCAAACATATTCAACAATAAAACATTTCCAGCCATAATAGCATTTTGTAAACAATTTCTGTTTTTTATCTGGAATTTGGAATTATATGGAATTCTCTTTGTTTCAACTGGTAGATTTACAGGAAGTAATAGCTGGCAACAGCCATAAGTGTTATTTAGAGATATTCTTTCTTATATCTTTTTAGCTTTGTCATATAGGTATTGACTTCTCGTAGGGCAATATTATTCTCGGAATACTCTGATGACAGTGCCTTTTTTGTTTATTTCTGTAAAATATCTTAAACGGACATTTAGTTGAAACCTAGAAATGTTCTGAATTCCTTTTTTGTGTCAAATGTTCCAGAGCTAGTCTATATAGTCTCTTATTTTAATAATAATGGATTAAGCAAAAATGGATAGTGGCTAGCAGTGGGATCCAGGATGCGCGTTTCGTCCTATTTGGGACTCTTCAATTGGGTGTACCTGCATCTCAGAGTTGACGAGTCTCATCTAGGACGAAATGTGCCTCCTGAATTCCACTGCTAGCCACTATCCATCTTTGCTTATAAAAGCTTGTGACTTAAGGCAATATCGAGGTAGTCCGCACAGGATTCTGTTATGTCCGAGTGGAGATTAAATTACAGGTAACTCCCGAGGACTATTAATGGACTAATATTCTATAAATATTCTTATTGTATAATTATTCAACAATTACATTACATATATTTATATTCCTCTTATTATAAGCTTTATTTGACCTATAACTTATTATTGTACGATTTACGGTTCTTAAGTTATGTTCAGCTTATTAACTACTGCCTCCCACATCCACAGCCACTTTTTGGGCTTATTTGTGTACAAATATTATTTCCTATTTTATGGTACGTTGCGGTCTGTGTGATTGATATATAAACCAAGTATGCCTGAAATAAACGATCTGCTCTGATTCGGAAGCTGGTATCTTGTTCTGGACTCAAGTGGAAGGGCTCGTAGGACATAGGACCAATAAGGACACTAAACTGCCCACACCGGTTGAACGTCATTGGTTGGCCTAGTGTGAAGATTCGTATAAGTCGTATTCGGATTGGTAGATAAATCGTGTGATAGAAAAACCAGACACCCAAGGTCATAACAGATTCACATATGCCAACAAGAGACTGATCGATTGCAGTCCTAAATAACAATGGGAAGATACAAGTAAACAACACCAAGTGAATTTAACAGTGGGCTAAGTAAATGAGTTTTATCAACCTCAACGAAGTTGTGTCCACCTTTTTACGTGATGTTTCTGTGCTGTTGAAAAATAGCTCAATATGTCTTTTTAGTAGCAACGTTAATGAAGTTTCTTCATTAATACAGAAAGCCTGTTAACCTCATACAATTTACGATACTGATAAGATATTAGAATGTTCATCAAAACCTAAGTATAAAACACGAAAATATTTTTTTCCCATATGAATCTTATATAAGATTTTGAATATGTACAGTTCCAACCTTTGGTGTCTAAAAATCCTTCTTAGATATTTGAACAAGTATTATTAAGTTGATGCTAAAAATTTCCATGTAAAGGAATTAAATTTGTTAACGAGTTTGTAATGAAGATTGGATTGAAAATGTTATTAATTTTCGATATGTCATAAATTTTATTGTAATTCAAAAAGTTTTTGATAGAAGTATTGTACGGAATTTCGACTTGAGCTTTATCCTGACCACAATGAATTCATTCACCCAAGAAACCTTGGTTCTTGTTGACCAATATTTGCTGGTTATTTTAATTCTCACGCCAAGTATTCCATCAGAAACTGAAAATATATGAAGGTTCATGTTATTTTACATTATTATATATTCAGCTAAAATTTGATTCGTAGGTTTTCTTTTCCTTGTCTATCAGATCTTTGGGCCAATACTTCCTGTGTTGTCTGTAAAATCTCCTTCTGAAGCGATTCGGATAATTAATTCCAAGTAATTATAATGTATTGCTGCATATCATTGTTTCATTTTTGACCGATAAACAGTCTAGAATGATTTATTTTGAGATCATTTAATATACATGCATAGTTTTGATACTGACACCTGACTTGGCAACTTTCTGATATATATATATATATATATATATATATATATATATATATATATCAAGTCACTTCAGAGTTGTCTCATAAATTGAAGTATTAGTGAGTTTCTGTCATTTCTCATTAACCCAAAGTTCGTATTAATTTCTCGCTTCTGATTGATTAACCTCGTATACACGCTCTTATTTTGAATATTTCGACCCTAATAATCTCTTTAATTTCTTACCGATAAACCGTAATTTAAAATCTGATTATTTTTATAGCTTCTATTCATTTATGGTCTAAGAGAGTAGTGGATTCTGTTTTGAGATTTCGTAACTCAGAATAAGTGGTAGTTATCCAGGTTGATTAGTGAGTGTCGATATGCGTGGTTTGACTTCCTACAGAAAGCCACAAAAATTTATCGCTGACAGAATCTTAAATTGATAACCATTCAATTATAAAGACAATTATATTCCAGAGAAACTACTGAAAAATAACTCAACATCTAAGCTTTTTAACACCAGTCTACTCTTAATTATGTTTTGTTGATTTGATTGGTATTTAGGGCGGATCAATTTCGTAATTTTATTAATTGAATTGAAATTTTCGTATAAAATTGTGAGCTATATTCACCCTTAAGCCAAAGCCTTTATTCAATACTGGCTCAATAGACCTTCGTATATTGGTGTAAATAGTTAACAACGTCACACCACAATCAAAGTCTCGTTCATGAGTCCATTCTTGTATCCAGTTATCTAAAAATTCCAACAAATGTGAATTAACGACAGTAATTTTTGTAAATAATAACTTGTATGCTTAGTCATTGTCTTTTATCAGAGGTGTTCTGTTCTCTTAGCTGGATGGTTTAATTGTTAAGCTTTCATTATCTTTATAGACAACGTCGTCAACACATACTTCATTTAGTCATTATTAATCATTCCCACCGGTTTGAATCTTACGTATAATTCTTTTGTTTCCTTATTTTAGAGAAAAACCTTTAGCCATTTACGTGTTTACTCGAAACAAATCAGTATTCGATGATTTCAAAATGGCTACATCTAGTGGTGCGATTATGATGAATGATTGTACTGTACATACTCTTAGTAAGTCAATAACTAATTTGTTACCAAACATTAAAGGTTTTGTAGCCTAATAACCCTTATTAATTTGTGTTAGTTCATTTGCACTGTAATCTCAGATTGTGAAATATAAGACATTAATTCCTGATATTTTATTGAACGAAAATCTACGTTTGTAGCTTTTACGCAGATAAAGTTATTTTTTCTACATAACTTATTTCCTCAGTAGATAGCAAAAAAGTTCATTTGTAGCGCGTAACTAAGTCGAGTGTAACACTTGCTTATATGCATTGTTTGTTCGTAAATTTAAAAGTTTAGGTAAGTTAACATGACATGTTAATAAGTTTCTAAGATTTTTTAGGAACGTTGTCTATTGTATTAATTTATCACAGATTATCAATTCCCTCAAGAATTTAGATATGTCTTGATGATCGTTACCGACTAACACGAAACCTAAGTTTAGGACTTCTTGTTAATTCCTTCTATCTAAGATTGTCAGTTATTTCAGTTGACTGTGTAATTTTAGGGAACTATCATTAGCCTGTAACCCTCCTAGGGTTACTACTAGTCCTAAGCCAATATAAAGGAGGAAGGTTAGTAAACCCATCCCGTAGAAAATACCCCTGCTAAAGAAATAATTTTAACCACTTAATCTCTGCCTTTGGAGTTGGAGGATCTTCATTTAGAAGAATTATGACGCCTCATGGTGAAAGCTGAGACTCCTCGGAAGTCACGAGGTTGATGCCCCTCTTAACAAACAGAGCAACAGTTGATATGGGTATATGGAATGTGCTGACAATGTGGGAGACCGAGAGGACTAGTCAAATGGCTACGGGAATGAGGAGATACAAATTTGCAGTGCTCGGAATCAGTAAAGGCTATTGAATCTAAGCTGAACAAAGAAGTCTGGATACGGGAAAGATGCCTTTATGCCCTGGTCATGAAGAAAGAAATGCTTCGTACACACAGGGAGTTGCACTGATGCTGTCCTAAGAAGCATGGAAGCTATTTACATGATAGGAGTCTCTTGAATCCAGAATAATGAGGCATTCTTCAAAACAAAGAATGAGGGCATGGCAATTAATTGTTGTTCAGTGCTATGTACCCACCAATGAAAGCAACGAGAACCAATTAGGTCAGTGTTAGGAGAGGCTGCAGTTGATCGTAGAAAAGTACCCAGGAAAAATCCTGACGAGAGACCTAAACATTGAGTTCGGAATGGACAACACTAGGTATGAAGATATCATGTGACGACATGGACTGGGAGAAAGGGACAAAAATTGTTTGATTTGCAAGTTCATGTACCTTCAACAAAATGGTTATAGGTGGTACGATATCCCCCCACAAACACATGCACAAGTCTACATAGGTCTCATCAAATCACACTACAGAAAACCAAATCGATCATATTTGCATCACTAAAAAAGTCAGGTCAGTGGAAGACGTCAGAACAAAGAGAGGAGTTATTGTGAATCGCGAGGTGGCTACTCTAAATTCTACGATTGAACAGCTTCAGATATCCCAGTACGACCCCAATACTGTTACCCAATCTCCAATATATCAGAACACGAACCGTAGATGAAAAATTGTTTATGGTGTCAGGAGCAGAATAATGATTTACAAACAACAGGAGTTGATTTAGCTTCATATCACCACCTCGTTATGGTCAAGATGAAACTCAAGCTAAAGAAGCACTGGGCGACTAAAAACAGCATTACAAAGGTTTAAAACAGTCTTTCTTTGAGATACTGACAAACTCAGTGAATTCAAAATGGCCCTTGGCAACAGGTCTCAAGCCTTACAAGGTCTACTTAAAAAAAGAGGAAACTACCATGAAGAGCAGCTGAAAAAGGGATTAAGGAAGCTGTAACTTGAACATGACTGGGAGTGCTGGGCCACAATAAGCCTGATCATTAGGAATGGATCTCTATTGATGCCATGAACGAGATTCGAGAAAGGAAGAACAAAAAGACAGCAATGAACAACAGCTGAACATGAGCAGAGAAAACCAAGCACAAACCGAATACACAGAGGCAAACAAACGGGTGAAGAAGAGTATTGGAGCTGATAGACAAAATTACGTGGAAGACCCTACAATGACAGCGGAAAAGCTGAAGAAGAAGGAAATGCCGGACAACTATATGATACAACGAAGAAACTGAAGGGGAAATATAATAAACCAGAGCTACCAGTGAAGAATAAGGGAGGCAAGCCAATCATTGAGATTCAAGGACAGAGGAACATTTGGGCAGAGCACTTTGAAGAACTGAATTGACCAACCCCACTGAACTTACCGGATATCGTAGCAGCATACAGAGATTTTCCTATAGATGTCATCCCACCAACAATCGAGGTCAACATGGGCATCGGACAAATCAAGAGTGGGAAAGCAGCAGGACCATGCAACATACCAGTTCAAGCACTGAAATCAGATATAGAGGTAACTGTGAAGCTGCTCCACATTCTTTTCAGAAAGATGTAGGTGGAAGAGCAATTGTCAACAGACTAGGAAGGAGGATACCAGAGAAAGATCTGAGCAAGTGTGATAACTACAGAAGCATTACACTACTATAGATATCAGGAAAAGTTTTCAACAGTGTTGCTGAACCGGATGAAAAATTCAGTAGATGCTCAACTTCGAGTTCAGCAGGTTGGATTCCATGAGCATCAGTCGTGCGCAGACCAAATCGCCTTACTACGGATCATCGTTGAACAATTAATTGAATGGAACTCGTCACTATACTTGAACTTCCTTGACAATGTGGATAGGAGAACCTTCTTCGGAAATCAACAGACCACATCATGAGGCAAGCCCCATCTTGGGATCCTAAAGTGAAAAGGAAAAAGAGGAAGACCAAGGAATGCATTGCGTCAGGGATTGGAAGCAGACATCAAAGGAATAAATAGCAATTGGAAAGGATTGCTCAGGACAGAGTTGAATGGAGAATCGTGGTGGGCGACCTGTGCTCCTACATGCGAATGATATCAGGCATGTGCAAAAGCAATCATTAGCTTATATTTTGTTTCATAAGATACCTTTTTTGATTAAAAATATGTTATTAGTTAGTATTTATTTGACTAATTTTCTCTTTTAGTACCAAATATTCCTTTCGGTGGTATTGGTCACTCCGGAATAGGGAACTATCATGGTCGTTATTCGATTGAAACCTTTTCCCATCGTCGCCCAGTTATTCTCAAGTCAGAAGTCGAATACATAAATAATAAGTAGGTTGTACCGTTTATTTTTATAGAAATATTACTTTTGTTCTCATAAGTTACACCAAGGTTTGAAGTAATTTTGTCATAAGATATCACTCGATGTAAATATTGTGGGTGATATTAATTTTATGTGAACTGTAATCGAAATGGTTAAATTAATCTCTCAGCAATCAACAAGCATATTGAAATCAATCCAATTTACCAACCAATCAGGAAAATCATGCACAAATATAGGAACAAAAATCAAACCAATGGGAGACACAACCAAAACAAAAAAGTAAACAATGACAAATTTAAGGTCAATAAGAACCAATCAACATCGAGGTGCACAGAACAAGCTGTGAAACACATATGGAGAAATGTGAACACTTCACTTCCAATTGAAGTTTGTGCTGATGATGTCGTTCAGGAGAACGATAAAAGCTCTACGACCAAACCATCCAGCTCAGAAAACAAAACCACCAAAAACAGAAGCCTTCGCATGGCCTCTGAGTTGCAGTTACGTATTTAATTTCATATTGTATTTATTTTGAGAATTTGTTTAGACCCAATGTTCATTTTGTATTCAGAAAAAAACCGGTAACGAGAGTCTGCTTCGGTCTGAGCGCCCGGGCAGTATTCTAGCCCTCACATAAATCGAATAACGAAGTGTGGCGCATGTATATTTGGTGCTTCCCTGTATCAATGTTTATGTATTTAAATAAAAATCAGGAACAATGCTTTCGGTCACATTTATTTATTTATTTATTTGAACACATAAATATTGGTACAAGAGAGCGCCAATATATATGCGCCACACAAAACAATGAAAATTCGAAGAGAAATAGAAAGAAAAAAAAAACTAGGGAACGCAAAAGAAAAAGAGAACAATGACGAAGAGATTGGAGTAAGGTAGTGTGGTAGTAACGACGGAACGAAAAGGTACAATCAGAAGAAATCTTTCAGGTAAAGGAGACACAACCACTTTTTAGAAAGAAAGTAAAAGAAGGTTACAGCAGGATCGCCACTGGCTTCTATTCTGAGCCATATCTGATAACGTCTCTAGCCACTGTGTAGCACCATCTCTCGGACCCCAACCAGGGAGTCGTGAAGGACCAACACAAGCCAGTCCTTTGCAGCTTTCTTTCATGCCACGACACCATGTCATGCACTGACCACCTCTCCGCCTCTTCCAACCAGTCCCAGAGTCGGCAAATAATGCACGACGTGGAATTCTCTGGGACGACATTCGGAGAACATGTCCAAGCCACCGAAGTCGGTGTTTCAAGATGGTGACACCAATTGAGTTATCATCTCTGTGCCCGAACACACGATGCCGAACCTCTGCATTACTGACATGGTGTTGCCACTGAATGTCAGCAATCCTTCGGAGACAGCGATGATCGAACACAGAGAGTCGTCTAACGTCCTCAACTCGGAGAGGCCAGGTTTCACAAGCATAGAGCAAAACTGCTCTCACCGACGCGTTGTAGATCCGACCTTTTACAGCCAGACTAACATCACGAAGGCGCCAAAGGTGGCCCAGATTGGCATAAGCCGCTCTGGCTTTCACTATTCGTGCATTGATCTCATCACTCACACCCCCACCAGCACTTATGCAGCTACCCAGATACACGAACTTCTCAACTACGTCTATCTGCTCACCGTCCAGGGTGAGTACAGGATTAGAATCCTGCCAGTCTTGTAGAAGTACTTTGCACTTCGAAGGTGCAAAGCACATACCATACCTACGGACACTGATTGCCAACTGATTAAGTGCGGATTGCATGCCTTGGGCATTATCGCACAGTAAGACAATATCGTCCGCATACTCAAGGTCGAGAAGTCTTTCTCCAGGCAACAGATCCACACCACCATTACTTACATTCATCAGAGCTGTTTCCAGAATGTCATCGATGGCAAAGTTGAAGAGGAATGGTGAGATTGGGCAACCCTGCCTAACCCCACTGCTCGAATGGAACAATGGAGAGAGGTGGTTGTATGCCCTCACTCTGCCTGAGGTGTTTTTATACAGGGCTTTCAGGATGTTAATAAACTTCTCAGGCACACCCTTCTTCAATAGACAATCCCAGAGAACAGTCCTGTCCAACGAATCGAAGGCAGCCCTGATGTCAAGAAACACTACGATTGTTGGCCTTTGAAAAGTATGGCGGTGTTCTAACATTTGGCGGAGGGTGAAGATATGATCAATACATCCTCGACCAGAACGAAACCCAGCCTGCTCCTCGCGAGTCAATCTTTCTCGGGTTTTGAACAACCTACGAAGAATGACGGAAGCCAATAGCTTGGACGCAATCGGAAGTAAACTTATCCCCCGATAGTTGTTACAAGAACGACGTGAACCCTTTTTAAAGATAGGGACAACTATCGACTCATTCCATGACGTTGGTACACACTCTAGTTCCCAAACCTTTGTAAACAACGTCGTCAATTCCTTAGTCAAAAAGTCACCACCATCTTTAAAAAGAGCCGGAGGTAAGTCATCTGGGCCAGGTGATTTGTAACGCTTCAAGAGTTGGAGTTCCTTGCGGACTTCCTCCTCATTTGGTGGATCAGTCGTCACCGGCCATGGAGGGCAGGACAGTCTGACCGATGTTGCCGGAGCAGCAGGCCAGTTGAACTGCCCTTCGAAAAATTCTGCCCATCGTCCAAGACGTCGATGGATGTTAGTGATTGGCATCCCATCATCCTCGCAGATTGTTTCACTCACACCAGACTTCTTGCTGCCAGTGGCTCGGATGAGCTGGAAGAGCTTCCGGTAGTTACCAGATGCAGCTGCTGCTTCCAGCTCATTAGCACGCATCGACCACCAGGCTTCTCGGTCCTTACGCAAGCTTTGCCCAATCTCCTTACGTAACATCCTTCGTTTATGGTCAAACTCACGGTCACCCGGAGTAGACCGACGGGCTTCAATGAGTTGTAAGGAACCAGAAGAAACCCAGTGCTTAAAGCGGGACGTTTCGCAAACCCACAACTGACTGTTCCCGCCATTTTCATGGCGTCATGCAATTGCAACCAATGCTCATCTATACTTTTCGGTGGAGTGGTAGCTAGCCTAGAGGCTAGCTCGGTTCGATACTTACTTGCAACAGAAGTTGCAACCAGCTTGCTAACATCAATCCGTTGATGGCGTTCACTTCGTTGTCCACTGAAAAGTAAGGTAAGATTGGCGCAGACCAAGGCATGGTCAGAGTCCAGATAGGTACTCCAAAAGGAGCGGCAGTCTTTTACACAACCACGCCAGCGGTAGCTGATCGCGATGTGATCAATCTGAGTCCAGGCTTGAGATGCAGAGGGAGGACGCCAGGTGGCACATCGGCGATGACTGTGCCGAAAGTTAGTGCTAGCCAGAAACAGGTTGTGGTCTGTGCAAAGTTGCAGTAGACGGTCCCCGTTATCTGACCTGCGACCAACGAGTCCCCATCGGCCACCTAAACGACTCTCTTCTGTGCCTAGACGCCCGACCTGAGCATTCAAGTCTCCGGCTAGTACTACAATATCTGTCGAACGCACTTTCTGGAGAAGAACTGATAACTGGTGGTAAAACTCATCCTTGATTGCATCCGGGCTGCAATCTGTCGGGGCATAGGCGGAGATGACGAAAAGACATCGTTTCTCACGCCGATTTCTTCTCACTTTGATGGAACTTTCTAATCTAACAGCACATAACCGACTGTTAATGGGGATCCAATCGACTAGTGCTGCCTCAGCTCTAGCGCTTAGTGCGACACCAACGCCAGCAAGACCAGACGAAGATGCCACAGGGTCCCCGGATAAGCGCACGTAAAACAAGCTTTTCGAAGCGACAGATGGAGATCGAATTTGTAGTACTTCGCCAGAGTCTTGAATACGGGTCTCGGATAGACAACACACGTCGATATTAAGACTTTCCAAAGACATAGCCAGCCCTATCTGTTGTCCGACCTGCATAAATGTGCGAACGTTGAAGGCAGCCAGTTTGAATGGTGCACGTGGTTTCAGAAAATCTGCTTCAGTCCTCGTATTCGGTGGTAACATACAATTTTCAACCGGACAGTGACTCGAGAACGTATAGATACAGTCGGATTTCCGCCAAAGACGAGCCGCTGTATAAGTATAAAAGAGGGTGAGTAATGTGGAAAATAATAATAATAATGATAATAATAACAATAATGACAATAATACTAGTAATAATAATAACAGTATTAATAATGACAATAATTGTAATGATAATAATCTGAATCAATTGTTTGTTTTTCAAAGCAAGAAAGGTAATTTCCGTAGGCATAAAGAGTTCATCAGTTTGTGTGTGGGCTGTGATACTGCCCGGGTGCCCAAACCGAAGCAGGTGGTTATCTTAGGGGGCCACTCCCCGAGCCTTTGACCTAAAGGTCTAACCCACAAGGCAGTGGAGCATCGTAAGGAGATGCAGTCCCATGGTAGCCGGTGACCAACGATTGGTTCATACGCCATTCGTTCCCGCAGGATACTGGAGCCCATGTGCACCATTGATTTGGAATCCGGTTAAAGCGCCGGACATTCGCTTTTCGTCCTCTCATTTTCGTAGACAACACCCCCGCCGCGAGAAGGCAATGAGTAGGACTTCCCTGGCAGAGGCAGCCTATCACAGTGATCAAATCGTTGTAAGGTAGGTATGACCCACACTAATCGTAAGGGCTAATTATACTATGCTTGCCTAAATCAGAGTGGGTGAACCCGGGACTTTGACTAAACGTTGAACGCCTTAGGCCCTAAGCCACCGTTCTACTGTAAGGACAACTGAATGTGAACCTGTTATCTGATTATTGGGAGTTGATAAATAAATGTAACTCTGATGGTTTATAAAGAGTTTAAACTTCTGTAAATGATGGGTACTTGAATAGTACTGTCATGTTTCAGCTACTTTGAATATCTATATTAATATAATTACAATCCTTAATATAAACGGAAAGATACAAACACTTACAAATCAAGTATACAATTGTTTTTCAGAATCCGTTATTATCCGTATACTGAAAGTGGCCTGAGTTGGTTGCGTTGGAGTCTGAAGAAATCAGATAGAAATGGCTGCCAAATATTATAAAGGATCCATATTACTTTTCTGTTACCTTTTACATTAACCTTTATTTATAAAATTTTTCACTCATTTTCTGATTTTGTTTTTTCCAAAAAAGAAAGTCAAACTGACCTTGATATTTATAAATATCTGTTATGGAATGCTATTATATTATATCGAAGTACTTTTTGCAAACAGTTTTGTTGTGTTTTAATTAATGTGTGTACGTTGAACTAAACGTGTTTGCCAATATTACAAGTGAAGTGAATATTTGTTTTCCAGTCATCAGAGATTATCGTATCTGTTTTCAATACAGTTAAATAATATCGACTAACTATCATTGGAGTTTCTGCATATTGAGACTACGGAATGGATACAATGTCTATTAGTAGTATAGTCTATGGTTTGAATCAGAGCTGTAAGTTACAAGACTTTAAGTTGGTCACTCAGTCAGTCATCGTCAACGTGGAGCATACATGTCAGCCCAACATACCGCCACACTAACACGAGATAATATTAGCACTATAATTAGTAAACCAGTTGAAGTAATGTAGTAGCAATCATAGTAAGGAAGACTGAACATCCAGAATGTGGTTCGAAAATACAGATTGGAAAGGAGTGTACGAAGGAATTTTGGAATTCAAGATCCAGAGGAAGATGAGTGGATGCATCTAGGTCAATGTGAGCGATTCTGACCCATATCACCGAAAGTCACCAACCACTAATCACGGTTATCTCGCTAGCCCCAACTAAGTAGTGCACATATACCGACATGGCTCACACCCACGGCAGTGAGTTCATGGTTTAACTGACCCTAGCTTTCTTTCAACCTACCACATCAGATAATATCACGCGTCGAGGTAGTCGGAGGATGCCCATACTTAATACATGTCCTAACCATCTCAGTCGATATATTCCTCACCTCGTCAGTCAGTTTGTCATCCTTACCACGTACTCTTCGTCTAACCTCGATGGTTCTAAAATATACAAATATTGCTTCAAAAACACTTATGATTGAATACTTGTAATTTAAGAATATCCTCTATTTTTAGAGGTCACGTTTCACAGCCGTAAAACAGAACTGTACGAACTTCTGGGCAGTATGCTCGACCTTAAGTTGACAGACGAACACCTCGTTTATGCCATGAGTGATGAGATTAGCCGAGATGTCGTCAGACACCAACGCTCCAGAGCTGATAAAACTTCCGAAATAAGTGAAGTGATCAACACACTCAGCTACTTCACTTCCTATTATTAGTTTATGTATTGACTTAAAGCAGTTTTGAAGTAACATTTCGAATTTAAGGGGAAATAGTCATATCCCAAATCTTTTTGTTTTGTTATGCGGGGTGAACAGCAAATTACTTTTGTCTGTATCTACATTAAATAGAACTGTCCTATCTGTGTGTTCTACGTAAGTGAATCTCTTGATGTATTGGCTCCTGAAAAGTCAAACAGCTTCATCTCCAAGAAATGTCTATGACAGCGTTAAATATAAATGGGGATAGCTGATGACTCTAATGAACACCACTTACTGTTGTCAATTCCGATGACAGGTATTCGTAAACTCCAAGTCAACCAGTAGTGTTCACGCAGATGGCCTGTACAAGATCGATGTACTTTTTTGGTACGCATTTCAATGACAAAAACTGCCATAAATCCTGTCAATCAACTGACCCAAACTCTACCTTAGGGTCAAGAAATAGAACTATGTATGGTAGTTGATAGGAATGTTTATACTCCAGTACTTGATGAGGAGTGAATACTTGGTCTACGCATCCACGTCAAGGTCTGAGACCTGTCTGGTTGTATTCATCACAAGCCGTAGTCCAGCGTCTGATGATTACTGACACTAATATTTTGGACACTACATTGATCAAATTGATTCCTCTATGGTTGTGAATTTTTGTCCCTCCTTATAAACTGTAACGATCAGCTATCATAACTAGTCAAACGGCATTGCGTCAAGCTCCCAGTCTTTAGCTAGTTTTTTTCGGTTAATCTAGGTTCTTTAACTGGACCATCATACCTAAAGATGTCTGGGACCAATCCATTAGGGCTCGCTTCTGTCTTTTCTCTTAGGTCAGTTATTTCTCTTTGAATTTCATAGTCTGACGGTTTATACTGAAATCCCATTCAGGTTGTTCGGTAACAGTCAGATACTAGAGACTAGTTAAATTATTCTTTAAATGTTCTACCCATAGTTCCGATCTCCTAAACTGAGAGTGGATCATTGCTCCATCCTTTTCTGAAATAGGTATCTATACAAAGGTTGGACTTAGTAGTTTCAAATAAATTGAGCATTGGATATAGTTAATAATAAAAATATATTTGTTATATCCAAATTAGTTGAAAAAATTTTGTTACCTTTTCTTTAATAAGTCTAAAAAGTCTGTTATTATCCTTCCGCTCTACCTTTTCCATCTCATTTACTGTCATTACCTACCACCACTCACAATCACTACGTACACCTTTCGGTCTGCTTTTAAGATACTTTCGTTCCTCGTCGTGTTCCGATTCTGATTAGATGAGATTTAAGTGATCTATCCATTTAGTAGATGCTACCCAAACTAACTGACGTTTTCACAAAGGTTTTGGTTGTAGCCACTGGTAGACGACTGTTGTTTCCATAGATGTTTGGATATCTTACCAACTTACATCGGAGTGAATATTACTTTGCTGATCGACTTACTGCTTCTCTAGTTGTTTTTGAAACATACTCTTAATTTTCCATCGTTAAATTTAATCTTTAAAGGCTTTTCTGCTTCCACTAGGATGCAGATAAACACGTGTTCACTTCAGAACATTACCAGTCTAAACATGTGCTCTAGAATGAGCAGACGTCTTTTATCGGGCCTCTACAACTATGGCTGATAGCGATAATGTTTATTTGTATAGATCTTTGTGTCGATTTCGGGAGTTGCCATGTCAGAAGTTTCTCCTTATATTTGAAGTTGATGCCTGATAATAATAAACAGTTGTCTAAGCATGGTTGCAGCAGACAGCCGTTATCTGTTCTCCAGGATTGGACATTGTAAGACCTACCTAAGTATGTCTCACTTTTGTTTAGACTATGCAGTCAAGCACTAGAATTTCAAACAAACAGTAGAGTGTTCAATCTTTTGGCTTTTCGACGGACAGTAAAAGCACTTTTTAAAATTCATCTCTTACTTCCAAATTATAGTCAGTTTGAACGTAGGCAGAGACGTTAAAGAGCCATTGGAGTGTCCTTATCTTTCCACGTTCCTAATGTCTTGTTGATTCTGACGGCTTGCAAATAACTGTCTATTACAATTCAGTCAAGGAAAACCTGTTCTAATGTAGTAACCAGAAGTTAATTTCAGAACCTCAGATTTACGCAAGTTGAATCACATGGATTATTTATAATGATCAGGTGAAATCATACGCATGATTGCACTGGGATCCTAAACTTATATTTCAAAAACAGAATATCTCGAGACTTTAGAGTTCTAGCTAAGGTAGTTCGCTGTTCGTTATGACGTAAGGTTCGAACATTGGGAGCCTACTTTCAAGAGGTCAGAAGTAGCATTTCGTGAACTTAAAACCTTAGCGTTGGTGGTGTATATGAATGATTGAGTAACTGGAGAAGTGTTGATAATGGGAATAGAATCAATGTTAGGAAGCAACAGAATGATTCGCTTGTAAACACAATCACTAATGTGGTTAAAGGCATCGGAGTGATTGTTACTTCTTGGTTCCCAACAAAGGCTAAATACAGGAGAGATGCTGCTATACTCCGGTCACGAAAAGGAAAATGCTCTGCACACTCAGGGAGTTGCTCTAATGCTGTTCAAGGTAGCACGAAATACACTTGTAGGATGGGAATCTCACGGATCCAGAATCATCAAAGCATCATTCAAGACAAAGAAGGAGGGGATCGCAATGAATGTTATGCACCCACCAATGATAGCAACAACGAAAATAAAGATCAATTCTATGAGAGGCTGCAATCAATCATAGTGAAGTGCCCAAGAAAGGACCTCACCATTCTGATGGGAGGTCTAAACACCAAAGTCGGAATAGACAACACCGGATATGAAGATATCATGAGACGACATGGACTACAAATCTATGTGCATTCAAAAAATTGGTCATCGGCGGCACAATATTCGCACACAAACGTATACACAAAGGTGCATGGATCTCAACGGTCCACACCACAGAGAACCACATCGATCATAATTGTGTCGGTAAAAAATTTCGAAGGACAATGGAAGATGTGAGAACCAGGAGAGGAGCTGAAATAGCTTCAGATCACCACCTGGTGGTGGCCAAGATTAAACTGAAGCTAAAGAAACATTGGACAACTGGGGGAACAGCATTACAAAGGTTCAATACAGCCTTCCTTCGAGATACCGAAAAACTCAACAACAGGTTCCAAGCCTTACAGGATCTACTGAATGAAGAAGAAACTACTATGGAGGACAAGTGGAAAGGTATCAAAGAAGCATTAACTTCAACGTGTCAGGAGGTTCTGGGCCGCAACAAGCATCATCATAAGGAATGGATCTCTATGGAAACCTTGGACAAGATTCAAGAAAGGAAGAACAAGAAGACAGCAATTAACAACAGCCGAACACGATCAGAGGAAGTCAAGACACAAGCTGAGTACACAGGAGCGAACAAGCAAGTTAAGAGGAGTATTAGAGCCGACAAGAAGAAACACGTGGAAGAACTAACAACGACGGCAGAAAAAGCTTCGAGCGAAGGAAATATGATACAGCGAAGAAACTAGCAGGAAGATATAGCAAGCCAGAGAGAGCGATCAAGGACAAAGAAGGCAAGACAATCACTGATGCTCAAGGAGAGAGAAACAGATGGGTAGAATACATCGAGGAACTGTCGATTAGGCAAGAACCATTGAATCTGTCGGACATCGAAGCAGAATCCACAGACTTCTCTGTAGATCTCACTCTACCAACGACGGAAGAAATCAGTATGGTCATCAGACAAATCAAGAGAGGGCAAGCAGCAGGACCTGACAGTACACCACCTGAAGCACTGAA